CCAGCGCCAATAACCTTCCTCCGGTTAAAAAAAACCAACCCACCCCAACTTCCGGGTTAAAAAAGGCCCCCCCAACTCCCCTTTTCCCGGGGGTGACGCCGAAACGCCGCTGCGCGGGGGGGCGGGGGCAGAGGGGCCGAGCCCCCGGGGTGCGCGGCCGTCGCCCCTCCCGCGCCGGCGGCAGTTTGCTGGAAGCATCGCCCCGCCCCCGGGTGCTCTGACAGGAGAGAGCGGCTCCACCACAGGACTCCTGTCCTCTCTGTCCCGGCCGCGCCTCGTTTAGTCACGGGATTTGGGGTTACTTGTTTTTTAACCCGAAAATTAGGGATTTTTTTTTTAAATGAGAACAAACCAGGATCCCTGCGGATCGCTCTCAGCAGGCTCCCCTGGCGCTGCCCGCCACGCCCCGCGGCTTGGCAGAAACCGGGACCAACCGTCAGGATGGAGCAGCCTCCGTGGGCAGCTCTTCGCCGCCGCGGTTCAGAGTAACGTTTTGCAGTGGAAAGCAGGCCCCCCGCTGCGGTGCGCCCAGGGGCCTGGGGGATAACAGACCCCGCGGCCATTGTCCTGCAATGAGTGCAGTGACCCTGGTCCCCAAAGTGGGACGGCAGCTAATCCTAGCCCTGGGTGCTGCCAGCAGCCAGCCAGGAGCACGTTCTTGAATGCAGAACCCCTAAAAGCAGCAGGGCCCAAGCATGGGTTACAGTCAAGTGAAGGGGGCAACGGAAGATGCTTGCCTGTAGTATCTGGGGGCACCCGAACCCCGAGGCCTCCAGGCTTGGGCCTGCCCGTAGGATGCCTGCCAATGGATTTGGGAGCATCTGAAGCCCCAGGTGATCGGTGTGGGATGGAGGATGCTCGCGGGTTGTATTGAGTTCTTCCTGTTCAGTCGATCTGGTTTTTGGAACGATTCAGCTCTGCTCACTCGATATGATTTGGAGCACTAAATATATTACAAAAAAATAAGTAAAAAAAAGTCAGGACCCAAACCTGACTGAAGGCTCTCGCCCGGCGGGGAAGTGGCGTATGGTCAAGCCAGCCTGTGCTGCACCGCCGAGGGGAAAGGCAGGTGGGCAGTGGGTGCGGGGAGAGGGATGTTGCAGCCACACTGTCCCATTTCTTTCAGCAATTCTCGGCGCTGACCGAAGTGCTCTTCCGCTTCTTGACGGAGCCCAAGGAGGTAAGGCCCCCATGGCAGGTGTGAGCAAAGAGTTTGCCTCCAGACTTCTGGAGAAAAGAGCCCAGAGATGAGGCTGTGTCTGCTCTTCTCCTTTTCCAGGTGGAAAGGTTTCTGACTCAGCTCTCGGAATTTGCTGCCATGAACAAAATCAGCCTGGGGCCTCTGAAAAATATTGTCAAAAGTCTCCTCTTGGTGCCGAACGGTGAGTACTCTGGGCAGGACCGAGCGGGCAGGCAGGAGCGTTGACTCCTGGCCTGAACTTGAAACCTGCACCAATGTGTCTGCAACCGTCCTGAGCCGCCTGGAGCCCTAAACTGTTCAGCCACAGGGCTGGAGCCCCTGTTACTACACGAACGGTTTGCAATTCAGAATGAAAAAGGGATTTTCCACAATACCTAAGCCAGGTTCTGCAGAGTGGGGGTCTGTAGCCTCTTAGATCTTACACATACGAATCCTGCTGCTTTAGTAAGAGTGATGGGGGTAAAGCCCATGGAACCCCCAGGTGGGAACCCATGGACTGGTTTAAAATTGGCTGCACCAATTTAACTTTGCATTTGCAATTTGCACCGTTGGTTAAATGAATGCAGCAGTGTTGAGAGCAGGTCCCCATAGGAGCTCCCATCCTGATGAGTCGGCATTGCACTTTGCGGCAGGAAGATGTGCTCCCCCAGACAGAGACAATTCAAGCCCTATTAGAGCGTGCAGGACATGGGAATGCTTCAAAGCCTGTCTGTGCAGCTGCCTTTGAAAGGGAAGTTTCAGTTTATTGTGCGAGCAGCTCGCCAGTCTCAAAGTGGGACCAGAAAAGCCCACGGCAGCCACTAGTCTGACTGCCTGCATTTTACTAGCTTGCCCCGCATGGCATTCCTGCTGCCAGCACCTCGGCCTGGATGTGGTCGTTGTGGCCAGGCCTCGCCCACATCCATTGGGAATCCATCCTGCCACCCATTGCTCTTGCTGGTACCTTCCCATCTCAGCTCTCTCTGAAGCTCCCACATAGCTGGGTCTAAGTGGAAATTTTCTTCCAGTGTTTGCCCTGAACTTTCCTTCTGTAGCTTCAGGCCATTTCTCCCCGTCCCAGGAAAGTAATGAAAGGTTTCCTTCCTCCTTTTACTCCAAGGTATTTACAGTCTGGAATCGCAACCGGGCAGGAAGCTCCTCCTGTCTAGCGCACACACATTTAGCAATCTAGTGCCTTAACATTCACTCCTTGTACCATTTGTGTCAGGGCTAGGATGCCCCGGACATTACCTACCACCGTCTGTCCCGACGAGTGCTTAGTGAAGCAGTCTACAAAGCCAGGCAGGGGCAACAGCAGCGTTTCTGACTTTTCCAGGACTCTTGGTCTTGGCTTTGGAGAACGGGAGCCTTGTAAAACTGCGCCGTGCTCCCTGCTCCCCGAGAACAAAGCAGGCAGGCGCAGCGGGGGGAACGTTATGTGCACACGTTCACGCCTGCAATCCAAAACACAGCAGGTAGGTCAAATTAGTAGCCTGCTGGCCTTAGCAGTTTTCCTTTAACAAGCAACGCTTCTATAGGGGAGAAATCGCAGTAACTTCAAAACAGAGCTGCTGCTGGTGCTGCTATTACCATGGAGACCAACACGGCAGCCTCATCTCTCTTGTGCCCTTGTACCCTACTGCCTTTTAAAGCATTGGCATCTACAAAGCTAGTGCAAAGCAACACCGGCATGTCTTGCTCCGGGGAATAGCGCTGTGCAGTGAATCGCACAGAAAAGAGGTCCCCGTTCCCGAATCTGCATCCCGGTATTTGTTTGGCTCCACGCAGCAATGCTGTGTTTCAGTTCAAGTGATTTCCTCCTCCTGCCATGTTTGTTCTAGGTGCCCTGAAGAGGAACCTGTCATCTGAACAAGTCAGGGCGGACTTCATTGCTCTGGGTAGGTCACTCAAAATCTACCAAAATATTAAATATTTAATTCGCTCTGATGTGGTTAAATCTTGTGTGGTTTCTCCCACAGGGCTCAGCGAAGAGAAAGCCAGTTACTTTGCAGAGCAGGTATTAGTAGAATTCCTTTTGTTTCTTAAAAACCTTACTGGGGGAAAAAAGTGTATGACCTTATGGCTTGGTATTTAGTGGTACCAAGGAGTTGGGCTACCTCTTTCTAACCAGCTCAGCCTTCTTAACCTGAGACATCACGAATGCTTTGTCCAAGGGGTGCTTTCACTTGGGCATATGCCCTACTTCGTAGTGTATTTGCACCGTAGGTTGAAGGACTACCGCAGCTCTGCTCCTGCCTTTGCTTGCACCAAACACCGTTACCCAGGCATACAGGCCGTCTTGCTCCAATCTGTTAAACTGGACCCCTGCCAAAGTTTTTAAAAAACACCCAAGTCTCATCTTCAAGTGTCTGGCCATTAGGACTCAGTCATTCCCCCTCTGTTTTCAGTCTTCAGCATTTAAGCTGTCCCTAGATACATACCTGTGCTTTGTGCTGTTGCTGTGGCTCTGCCTAATTTCCAATCTGGGCTGGCACTGCAGGGTCCAGGGTAAGGAGACGTGTTTCTGCATCCATCATTTATGGTCTGGTTTTTGCTCTTGCAGTGGAAGCTGAATTCCCCCACCCTGACAAGCCTGGCTGTTGGGCAAACACTGATGATTAACCAGCTTATAGACATGGAGTGGAAGTTTGGAGGTAATGGATCCCAACACGAGTGGGACGTGGGATGCCGGAATCGAAACCCCGGCAGTTCTCAGCTGTAGTGCTCTTGAAATAATCTCTTTCCCAGCTAAATTAGCCTGCCCAAGCTCAATATGTTCAAACTCTCTCTTTCTACCTCATAGTGACTGCAGGGAGCAGCGAACTGGAAAAGGTGGGAAGTATCTTCTTGCAGGTAAGTTCTTGAGGCACAGGCGTGAAAGCACGTCTTGCATTTCACCACTGGGCGCACACTCTTCAGACCTGAATGTGGGGGTGGAGAGCTGACTTTGGAGGGAGTGGAGGGCACTGGGACCCCCTGGAAACATGCCCTCCGAGCATGGTTTCTGGAGCTTTACCTCTGTGCCCAATTTCTTGAGTATATCCTTCAAATCAAGGGACTGCATTGCTAGGTTGCTTTTGCTGAATGCCCTGTGGGTGTCAGAAGTGGAGCCCCTGGCAGGGAAAGGAGCAATCCAAAACCGTTCAGTCCAATGTCCCATGCGTAAAGTTGGATTTGTCTCCTACAGTAAAGGCTCACCTCATCTCGGCGAATTGGGATTGACACTCGTAGTAGCTTTTATGGAAGAATAGTAAGGAAACATGGCATCTCTACACCAGTCTGGGCTGTCACAAGTGGACTCTGGATGACCTGGTTTTTATGAAGGTGGCATATACCAGCTGCTTTAATTTAAAAAAAATCTCTGATTTTTCTTCCCAGCTGAAACTGGTGGTTAAAAAAGGAAACCAAATAGAGCCCGTGTATGTAGGTGAGTTGCTCGATGTTCAAGGATCATTCAAAATGGGTTCATTTTGCCAGGCCTTTGAAAGGCAGTTCAGCTGCCAGGTCTTTAAAGAGAAGGTCACGTGTATTTATTGAGTCACAACGAGCTGTGGAAGCTGATGCAGCTTCCCAGCAGGGGTCACTGCAGGCGTGCCAGCTCGCAGCTCTTCCAACCCTGACGGGTCCCGGAAGGGAATTATTTAGGAGCTCTGGTTCTTTTGGTAGTCTTCATGTCTGTACATAAGGAAAAATAATATGCACTCTCCAGCTCTGAAAAATCAGAGTCCTGTGCAGCAGTCAGAGTGGCATAGTGCAGGAACAGGAGGGGGGAAGACCAATCCCAGTGTGTCTCTTCACCTTATGCAAATCCCAACCTGCAGTTCTTACTACATTGGTGCAATATTGCAGACAAGCATGTTAAGAGGCAGCTTCTGTTGTTCCCTGCCCAGGTGTGACTGCACCACACTTGGGCATCGCTTTTGCTGTTGGACTTGCAAGCTGAAGCTTCACAATTCCTCTCTTCCTTCCTCAGAGCTGACGCTGCCCCAGTTCTACAGTTTTCTGCATGAGATGGAACGAGTCAAAACCAGTCTGGAGTGTTTTAGTTGAAACCAGATGGGACCGAACTAATAGCACGGCCCGGCGCTTTTGCCCTGTGGGCCAGCACATCCCATCTCACTGCTGCTCTGTAACCTCTTGCTAGATGGGGACTGTGCAGTTTTGTAAGCAAAGCTGTCAAGTCCTTCTGCCCTCAGTTGGAACCAGCCTTAAACCTGTTATAGTTCTGTCCTTCCGAGTCTGAGACCTTTACGGGTACTCGTAGCTGACAGCCAAGCAGACCCGTGCTGCTCTTCTGTCCTAGCCCCTAAGAGAAAGTATTGTCAGAAGTAAATGGAAGTCCGCTTATATAGTGGTAGTATGCAAGCTAGGAAGTAAATAAAAGAGTCTCGTTAAAGTCCTGTTTGGTGTGCATCAATCAAGTGAAGTGGTTGTTTTCAGACTGGCCGGAGTAGAAAAAGGAGAGCCTGACCAAATTCAGCACTTAGCACCATCCCATCCCTCCCACTCCTGCCTCGTTACAGAAAAGTATGAGAAGTCCCCTTACGTCTTGCCCTACAGCCAGTCAGATACATCCTCCTGTGTTTGTGAACGCAGGATCCTAATGAAAAGAGTTCCTGAGTCTGAGGCCAATATGAAATGGGGGTAGAAGCTTCTAACTTGTCCCTAATAGACACGTTTCCCTACAAGCTCCATCACGTTTGGCTTCCGTGCTAGGAAGGTGAGCTCTGGACGTGCAACCAGAGGACTCTGCTCTCAGTTCAAAAGATACCACGTTTACCTGAAGAACCTTATCTGCCTATGTCCTTAGACCAACACGGCTACAGCCAACACCTTACTGCAAGAGGCGGACAAGGCTCATTGGGTAAATGTGATATCTTCTATTAGACCAACTATATAGTTGGAAAAAATTGTTTTCTGCAAGCTTTCAGGCACAAAATGCCCTTCTTCAGGCATAGAGAGAATCTGCTGGTGTTGTGTTCTCCATGGTAGAAAAGAAGCCCATACAACAATATGCCAATAATCTTGTCTGCCTGTGTCCTTAGCCCAGCATGGCTACAACCCACACTCCTTACAAGGTACTCTTGTTCAAACACAAGGTGGGGAGAAGAGGTCTCTGCTCAGTTCTCCAGTCAAAAGCACACGCAACAGGAGGAGCAAATGCGCACAGATATGTAGGAATAAGATCTTTGCTAACTCAAGCCAATATGCAAAATCATTTACTGTCCTGCAGTATGCAGCCAGTTCTTAATGACCAGTCTCAGTAAAAACCAAGCTCGCCATCCTCCTTGTGTAGACAGCTTCCCTTCCAAATTAAAGTTTCCATGCTCCCACACCGTTCAGCCGCACACAAATAGATCATAAAGAAACAACACAACTTCCCACAAGTTGCCCTCTGTGCTGGGCTGGTCTTGCAGGATGTTTTCAGGCTGGGAAAGTGGAGTTTTCCCTTTTGCCTTTTTACAGCTAGGACCAATGGCCAAGAGCCACATCATGCGTCTGGAAGGTAATGTGAGGAAGGGCCTTGAAAGGCCTCCATTTGTCCCAGGGTCAGTATTGGCATTTTTCTCTCCTCTGCATCATTCCAGTTCAAGGGCTTCATGTTTTGTCACCTCATGGCAAGCAAAAACAAAAGACTCCTTTGAAGTAAAACCCTTCCAGCAAAACAGTGCTCCTTCTTTAGGGACCAGGCATGCACACAGCTTGCTGAATTCATAGCATCAGCTCCTCCACCTCACCTGCTCAAGCAGCTCTTGCCCCGTGATTGGTCCCCCCCCAGACGAACACCCGCAGGTTTCCCCTCCCAAGCCCACCTTGGAGACGGAGTCGAAGTGCAGTTCTGTGACTGTGGGGCATTTCTGCCTTATGTTCTCAGCTGCCTGGCCTGTGATTTCTGCCAGCCCTACTGTTGCCAGGATGCTGCGCTGGACCACATCCAGGGGCATTAGAAGGTGGACTATAATGACGTCCTACAAGATGCCGCTATCAACAGCAAGCCAGCATCCAGGCACTGACCTCTTCCCTCTCCCCACCGTTAAGTTCAAGTTTCTCCAGGCTGATGAGTGCGGAGGCTGGCCGACCCCAGGCCACCCTCAAGGCACCACTACACCTGCCGTGCTTCCCCAGCACAACGCAGCCTTTGTGCGCCGGCGGAGGCTGCTGGCATCTTGGTTGTGTCTTCTTCCTCCCAGGCGTTTGACCATGGGTGACAGAAGTGGTCGGTGCCACTTCGAAACCCCTGCAGGTTGGAGAGAAACCCTTTGCGTAGACATGGGGTGTTTATGAGGGCAGAGCCCAGAGGAGCCTTAGCTGCAGTGGATTAAAAATGGAGCTGCAGCTCTCCAGCCCGGGGACCAGACCAGGCCTCCAGCACGCACGATTGCACGAAGCTGGGAGACGACGCCGGCCTTAGCACGTGGCACGGCGAATCTCACCCCAGCTCTCAGCCCTGCCACAGGGGAGACGCAAGCAGCCCCTTTGCCCCGATCCCAGAGTGTTCGGAGTCAAGGATGTTTTATTCCTCAACACCTTTGCTCCAAGCGTTAGGGGGCAAGTCACGTGCCAACGCTGGATGCTGCGGCTATAGAAAGAGCGCTGTCCCCACGGCTCAATGCAGCAGCCCGGGGCAGGGGGTGGGGGAGACGCTGCGTCCAGGCCCGTGTGTCAGGTTTATGAATGATTTCCTGACAGGTACAAAGGCTGACTCAGCTGGCCTCCCGTTGTGTGCGGTGCAGGGCTGGCTTTTCCGGCTGCCACTCAAGCCCACTGAGCCGAGAGCTAATCTCCCCAGGACACCAGGCTCAGGGGGAAACCGGGGCCTCTTCCAGCTGGGGGCGAGAGCTAACCGTACGGCTCCGGCGGTTTGGGGGCCCCTACGGCTTTCTCAACCCGTTTCCTTCAGAGGCGGCTGCCGCCCTCGCTCACCCGCCTGCCCCCGCCCACTGCTGTGTTTTTCACCGCGCCGAGGCGGACGGTTATGCTGCGCTCTCATGGCTGCAAGGGCAAGGGCATGGGGCCGGCGGGGCAGTGCCCTGCTCAACGCCCTCCCGGGACTGCGGCTGGTACAGCATCGTTGCCTGCAGCACCTGCCTTCCTCCCCCGAGCCAGGCACGTCTGCAAGCAGAGCTAACGCAGCCCCAGGCCTCCGAGCCCTTCAGGTCCAGTTCAGGCTCAGCATCCAGCATTGAGCCTTTCCCAGATTCCTAGGGCTCTCCCATGTCCTTCATGGCTGCATTTTCCCCTGGGCCCAGGAAAAAGCAGCAAGAGGTGATGCACAAGCCAAGCAGGCAGAGCCACCTGCACGGGAATGAATTGCAGCCAGCGGAGGTGCATTGACCCCCTGTAGCTGGCTGCATTTTGGAGAGCTGGGTGCTGGCTGGGTCCCGGGCTCAGACAGATTTAGGATCTGGTTTCTTCTCACCCTGAGCTGCAGGGGAGGGGGCTGCACTTCCCCGAGACAGTCTGTCGCTTCAGGTGTTGGCGAGATTCACTCCTTGCCTTTGCAACCCCTAACAATAGATGGAGCAGGGAGGGTGCAGCTAGCAGGGTCTGTCCCTTGCAGGCAGGGAGAAGGGAGCAGCTCTTGCCAGACGGACGCAGGCCCCGCTTCCAGCAGAGTCCCAGGCAGGAGGGGAAGGAAGTGGGAGCGCTCCCAGCTCTGCCGGGGGTTTGCCATGCGACCTTGAGTGAGTCACGCACAAGGGGATAGTCCAGAGCAGAGCTCCTGGCTAACCTCCCCCCTCCCTGCCCCACTATTGTGCGCAGGAGCAGCTGGATGCCAGGGGCCTTTAATCGAGACCTCAGTTTCCTGATCTGTAAAACAGGGTTGATAATAATGACACGGATAATAATGCATCCATGCCGGCCAAGCCAGGGGCTGCAAAGTGCTCGTGCACCCAGGGGGGTCGTCAGAGCTGAGACCCCAGACGAGCTGTACGCGGGAAAGTCGCCGTGCATCCTTCCCACCCGAGAGCGGGCGAGGCCTGCACATCCCACGGGAGACTTGAAACAGGGCACGTGAAATCAACCTGGCCCGAGGACATGGAGGGGCTGAGTTGGCTCCCCAAGC